AAACTACCATTTGCAGAGTTTGTCATTTGTAATAGTGTGTAGTAGTTTGTGGGGTAGTAGCAAAGAAAATCATCTGTAATTATCCGGGAAGGTTATTAAAATGCACTTCATTTTCCATATGAAACAGGATTTTTGTCATGTACATCAACCCAAATATATCACAAGAGACTGAGCATAGTAACAAACCCAAAATGTATTACAAGAGACTGAGTACAGTAACAAAAGTGAATGAGAAGCCATGTGCCTTTTAGCAAGTTAGATATTAAAAAGGCCTTCAAAAATGTAAAATGATGACATTCTTTTCACTAAATTTCCTTTAAACAATATAGTCACTTTCATAAAATAGGTTATTTATGCTAACATGTAAGTTTAGTATTAAACAGAGACATTTTTTATTATTAGTGGTTTACTTTATTTATTTTTAATTACTTTAAAATTAGTGACTATAGTTTAAACATTCTCAGTTTTAATTTCAGATATGGTGAACATCAATAGATATAACCAATTTAAACAAAAGTATGTTGAAGTTTTCAGTGACTTTTTAAGCACATAGAAAGGATCCTGTGGTGAAGCACTCAAGAACATTTTTCCTAAGATCTCTTCAAGAAAAGTGGTGTTTGAGTGACTAATTCACCAAAGAGATGGGTGCTTGATATTTGTCAGTTTTTTCTGTTGTAGGGAAGCTTCTCCAGACTTGGCAATGGGGGTTGCTTATCATGACAGAGTCTTCAGTGAAGCACCAAGGGAAAGTCATCCACAGTACTATGTAAGATTGGCAAAAATCACTTTTGAGAATATCAAATCTCTTAGACAAGAGAAACAAATGAAAGCAATAAAGATAGGAAAGGAAGAAGTTAAACTGTCATTATTTGCTGACGATATGATACTGTACATTGAAGACTCAAAAAACTCCAGCAAAAGACTTCTAGACTTAATTGACATTTTTAGCAGAGTAGCTGGATGTAAGGACAACACTAAAAAATCAATAGCCTTCTTGTACACAAATAACAGACTCACTGAGAGAGAAATTAGGGAAACAATTCCCTTCACAATAGCATCCAAAAAAATGAAATATCAGGAATCAATCTAACAAAAGAAGCAAAAGATACCTCTACACTGAAAACTATAGCACTATAAAAAAAGAGATCGAAGAGGATATAAGAAAATGGAAATATATCCCCTGCTCCTGGGTAGGAAGAATCAACATAGTGAAAATTGCCATACTGCCAAACTATACAGATTCAATGCAATGCCAATTGAAATTCCAACACGTTATTTCACAGAACTAGAAAAAAATAATCCAAAAATTCATTTGGAACCAGAAGAGACCTAGAATAACAAAAGCCATCCTAGGCAACAGAGACATGGTAGCAGGTATAACAATCCCCAATTTGAAACTATACTACAAAGCCATTGTGATAAAAACAGCATGGTACTGGAAAAGAAACAGAACTGAGGACTAGTGGAATAGATTGGAAGATAAAAAAACAACTCAAGATGTACTCAGCTACCTCATCTTTGACAAAGGAGCTGACCATCCTCACTGGAGGCAAGATAGTCTCTTTAATAAATGGTGTTGGAAAAACTGGATCTCACCCTACCAAAGATTAAAACTAGACCCTTATCTTTCACCATGCACTAAAGTAAAATCCAAGTGGATTAAAGATCTAAATATTAAAAAAGAGACACTAAATTTGCTGGAATATAAGTTAGGAAGAACTCTTGAAGACATTGGCATAGGAAAATACTTTCTGAACAAATCCTCAGTAGCACAGGAACTAGCAGAAAGAATCAACAACTGGGATCTCATCTTATTAAGAAGCTTCTGCACTGCAAAAGAAACCATCAACAGAACTAAAAGGCAACCTACAATGTGGGAAAAAAATTTTTACCAGCTGCTCCTCAGACAAAGGGCTCTTATCTAGAATATATAAAGAACTCAAAATAATCAGCCCCCCCAAATGTAAAGACCTGATTCACAAATGGGCATCTGAATTGAACAGACATTTCCCAGACAAAGCAGTAAAAAGCAGCAAGTAAATATATGAAAAAATGTTCCATATCACTGGTCATTCTAGAGATGCAGATGAAAACAACACTGAGATTCCACCTCACCCCACAAAGAATGGCTGCTGTCAAGAAATCACACAATAACAAATGTTGGCGGGATTGTGGGGAGAAAGGAACCCTTCTTCATTGTTGGTGGGAGTGCAGACTGGTGCAACCACTACGGAAATCAATATGGGGATACCTCAAAGATCTGGGACTAGAGGTTCCATTTGAACCAGCCATCCCTCTGCTGGGTATCTTTCCAAAAGAATTAAAAGAATCATATCACAACGATATATGCTCACCTATGTTTATAGCGGCACAGTTTGTAATAGCTAAAACTTGGAAACAAGCCCATTTGCCCATCAGTTAGAGACTGAAGAAGATGTGGTTTTTCTATAAAATGGAATACTACTCAGCCATAAAGAATGAGAAATTAGATTCATTCAGAGGAAAATGGATACATATTAAGGATATACTCCTAAGTGAAATAAGTAAGTCACACATGTATAAATACCAAATAGTTTCTCTGGTGTGAAAAACTATAATGGTACATAAGATCCTAATGATATAATTGGCAATGTGAAATAGGAAGAAAAGGGGTAAAGGTGTAGGAAAAGTGGGAAGGGTAGGGGAAAGGTAATAAGGGAAAAATATGAGAAAATGAAAACACGGAAATAAAGTGTTTGTAAATGGGGAGGGGAGGAGTGGGTGAAGGGAGGGCAGGGATAAGGGGAAAATGAGAACCAAGACCTGTCACGTAAAGGTACAAGATCCCAATAATGAACGTAACTGTACTACTGTACTGTATACCTAAAATATACCAGTAACTCAGAGAGAGAGAGAGAGAGAGAGAGAGAGTGTGTCAAATCTCAAGGTTCTCATTAGACCTTCCCTGTTCCCTTGCAAATAGCTCCAGTCCAATGAGTCTTCAAGTTCACCCCTTTGCTACAAAGAAGATCCAGCCCACACTTCTATCATGACCATGTGTAGGCAGGACATTTGCCACCCACGTCGTAGCAAGTGCCACTCTAATCTCAAACAACACTCAATACCAAGTACTTGGGCAGCACCAGGTACTAAGAAACAAAGAAGAGCAGGTCATAGCTTTTGTCCTGGAAGGGAAGAAAAACTCCTGAAGAAATAATTACAGTATTATTTGATAAACGCTACTCTGTACATAGTTACCAAAATTTTCCAACAGAAAATTAGGAAGCAATCTGACAAGTAACATGTCATAATATCTGACAATGGAACTATCCCAGGGAAACTGGAACACATGCCTGCTATATTTATTAAGAAACTCTCAACAATGCCACACAAATCTTGTATAGATTTGTACTTAATTTGCCCCAAAGACCCATAAACAATGGTTTTGTACCTCTCCTTTCTAAATTCTGGGAAATGACAATGGCAGAATAGAAAAAGGCAAAAGGCTCCTTAGGATCACAAAAGATGAGTAATGGCCCCTAACATTTTATTTCTTCTGTGTTAGTGGATGGGAGCTCTAGAGGAAATTTTTTCCAACAGATTTGTTCCAAGTGGTTTTTTTCCCCTCCAGGAAGAGACTTCAAATTTTTCATACAGGTCTCCCATACCAGCTGAGGCAGATCAGGCTGAATTCCAGAGTCAGGGGAATGAACCAGTAAGAGGCTTCTAAGATCCCATGCCTTGATCGTATGTGGGTAAAATTAAACAATAGGACTCTTGATCTGCCAGGGGATGTTGGTGTCCCCTCTGGGTGGGCTGTTTGGGATCCAGGGAGGTTCTGGTCAGGCCTGGGTTTTAAGCCTACCCATGTGTCTCCTTCTTTTGAGGCCTGGCCCCATTTCCTCTTTTTATCTTTCTCCCACTCCTACTGTTCTTTCCCAGCTGTGGTAACTCCAGAGTGAAACACGTAAGAATAAAACAGTGAACAGAGACAACATGCTCAGTGCCACACACAGACATCAGGCCACCCACATCTACAGAGAACAGGCAGCCCTGGGTCTCAAAGGTGACCCAAATTAAAGGGAGGCCAAGGAGCCTGAAGAAAACCCACTAAAAACCCATTAGTGAGTCTCACAGTCACTAATTCCACTGGACTTTGAGCAAACCATGACCTCTCTCTGATCCTCGGTGAGCTTCAGAGAGGCAGGTTATTTTGATCATTAAAAAGGTCTAACATGTAAAGATGCTTGGTACCTGGTAAGTCTACTATCCCTAGTTACAATCCTCAAATCTTTTCATATGATTATTTGGTTAGTGTCTGTCTCCTCCCTAGTTCCTGGGTGGCATGTAAACCTGAACTATAATTTTTATTTGCCCACTCTTGTGTCTCTAGAGTTTAAGACAGTGCCGGCCACATGTTAGGTGTGTGATGAGAGAAGTGCCTGCTAAAAAAGGAGTTGGGAGGGTTTTGGTTAGGGATTTACCTCCAAATAGCAATCTCTGGGTCTCCTGACAACTTGCATGGATTGGTATTGTCTGTCTAGAGCATGGTGTCACAAAGAAATTGGAATGTGGTAGCTGGAATCGGTAGGGAAAGGGGGTATGGATTGATTATTGACACTGGCTATGATTGAGGATGCTAAGTAGTTCTTGACGTTGGTCTGGGGTGTCAAGATCAAGTTCTTCACCAGCTATTTTCAGTACAAATCAGCCTGTTGTATAATTACAGCGCTATTTCAGGAGGACCGAGGTTATGAAATGCTTGGCCTGATGCTAAGTAGCATGACTTCAGGAATATATTTTAAAACCCGTAGATAAGAAAACACTTTGAACAATGCTATGCAAAGAAGCTAATTATGTCTGCCTGTCTCGGTGAATATACTTACTTGGAATGTGAATTTCATAAATCAATTGATAACAGCATACAGACTTGACATATATCAGCTTGGGTGTCCCACAATCAGACAGAACTTCTACAATGTGCTTTTTCCCCCAAGCCATAAAATAGCTTCTCTACTCACGAGGGTAATCCTTTGGATGTGTCTTCTCTGACCAATTCCCATAAAATGTGAGTCTGTACTTGGCAGTTCCACAGGCGCAGCAGTCTAAGATTGGTTTGTCAGTCACCCCATCAAATGTGGAATCTGAAACGGGAAAGTTACCATGTTAAGGAGAAAAATAGGATTTTTGTATAAGGCAGCACCATGTTGGTTTGCCTTAACCTGAGGAAAAAAAAAGTGAAGCACAGTTTTCACTGATCAATAAGACTTACAGCCAGTGCTTACACTAGATTTTGTCTTCCTCCAAGTATGGAAACTACATATTGCGAGTAGAACATTGTAAACTCATGAATTTTATTCCAATAATTTGAGGAGCTCTATTGGAACAATGGGACAGAAACTTTCAGATTGGGGAGATCTTGGGAAACTTGGGGTAAAATTTACTCAATGATCCTTTCTGGATCCTGTTCTCCTTCCTCATCCCTCTCACAACAAGACTTTGATACCATATTTTAAGAAGAATATACAAGTTCTTTTCTAAGAAATATTCCCTGGGGCTAAAATGCCAGACCAGAGGAGCTGGCTTTGAAGGCCAACAGTGAGAAGTAGAGAGACCCAAAGAACTGCTGAAAAATATTTAAACACTGATGTAGTCACAGTGCTTCTTATCATGATCTCAGAGCCTTTACTGGGAGGGCTGAGGGTTGGAAATCTGTTCATAAGTTCAAGCAGCCAGGAAAAACTTGAGATTCCCTCACCGTCCCCATTTTTAGCTATCAGTAGCTGATAAGTGGGGAAAGAGAGATTGCGTGAATAAATTCAGTATTTCTGATTGTCCAAACCACATCCCTAACTGTACCTTGTTCCTTTTAGTCTTCCTACGATATGTAAACAATAACTGCAGCTGCAACTTGCTGTAACTGCTTTTTCTTTAGTCCCCCTAGCAGTATTAACATAAATCTTTTTTCTGCAAGTTGGACATTTATTCTTAAATACTGTACAGAGAGCAGCAGCAAAGAGTCGAGGAATCATTGTGAATGTCAGAAAGAGTATTTTGCAAGTCTTCCTTTTAGAATTCACTGAGTTCAGTAGAATATACAAAACCAGTGATGTGCAGAAGTGAATGCTGGGTTCCAGGATGGAGACAAAAGTATGAGAGCCTGGGATGATAATGACGCTGTACCCAGTCCTTGTCTGTGTTCATTCTGCTCTGTGTACAGTAAAACCTTGGGAAGCAGCTTGCTCCGCAAGTGTTCTACAAGATGAGCGAACATTTCTAACATATCTTAACTTAATAAATGAGTGACGTTTTGCAATATGAGTGGTATGTGACACTCAACGTCACCTGATCACAAGTGTCGCTGGGTAGAGTCCCTTGTTAAAGTTGTGCACAAAGGAAAAGATTCCATCAGATAGTAAAAGCTGTCCTACACAGCAAATCTCCCTCACACCAGCCATGAAGATTTTCAAAGGTAAGTGCAAGTTACTTTGTCCATTTTTTCTTCATATTTTGCATTTTATTATTTTATTTTATGCTACAGTACTGTAGTCATTTTTATATGAATATTTTTGGGTTGTGGAATGAATCATCTGAGTTATTTCTTAGGGGGAAATTCGCTTTGATGTACAAGTGCTTTGTATGACAAGCAGGCTTCTGAATGAATTAAGCTCGCAAGCCAAGGTTTTACTGTATTGCCTCATTTATCTTAAGAATCTTCAGAAGTAAGTACTTTGGTTGTCCCTGTTTGACACAGCAGTGGACTGAGGCAGGTTACTTGCTCAAGGTCACAAAGTTAGGGAGTAGTGTGGGTAGAACTGGAGCCCAGGTCTTTTTAGGTCCAGAGCCCTTAATTCTGCAGTATAATATTTCTGGAAAGAACAACTCTGTATAGGTCTGCCTAAATAACAATGAGACAAAAGCTTTTTTTCCTTGTCATGGTTTTGTCTCAGTTTTGCCTTTTCTAAACGAAGAATGGTGGATTTAAAAACTTACTTCCCTAAATGGCCCCAAAGAAGAAGTTTTCAAACACTTAGAGCAGAAATTGACTATTTTCTGGCCACTTGGGAGAGGCCAGAGCACCACCACATACAGGATCTGATTTCTTTTTCTTTTTTTGGTACCAGGGATCAAACTTGGGTCCTTGAGCTTAGTGAGGCAGGCAGCGGAACCACTGAGCTAAATTCCCAGCCCTAGGATCTGATTTCTATGGGAACTCCCTGCGTTGCGAAGGGCCAAGCCCACTTGACCATGTTTCAGGAAAGTTGGTATAAACCAGTTACTCCTGAAGACTTTGTCTCTTTCTATTCCCATTATGACCAACTATACTGTAATAAATCTAAATTACTTTTGAAAAAAAGATTCAGAACTAAGATACATGCTGGGGTTTCAATGGTAACTATCAGGGGCTGTTAAATGGGGGCAGTAATAATCTCTAGAAGGCCCCAAATAAAGCCAATTGGTAGCTTTACCTTATCCAAAAAGGCTTTCAGATATAGGCAGTAAAGTCGAAGATATTTTCAAGGATTTAAAGAAATGCACTTACAACAAACCAAATACATTTCTAGGTTTGAAAAGAATAACCATTTCCTACTGAGGCAAGCCTCCTGATAATGAAGACTTTTAAAGAATGGGGATAACAAGCTGCTGCCCATAGTATATCCAGCTCAGTCTCCATGGTCTCCTACAAAGGACTTAACTTTGTTCCAGGTCATCTACAGCAAGACAATGTGTAGCAATTCCCAGGGCAATAATGGAAGCCATTGCATTTCCCCCTTGAGAGTAACACATTTTGAAGTCACTATATGTCAACGATGCAATCTTTTTTAAAGTCAGCTTTTCTTAAAAGGTATATTTTAGGAAATAGGTAATCAGTTAACTAGAGTTCTTTGGCTGGTAAATGAAGGGATGTTATATTTGAAGTTGACTTTCAAAAGCCAATGAGCAGTCCACAAAGTTTATAAACTCTCAGGCAACTAATAGCAGAGTGCTCGGTTATGGAGTCCAGAGTTAAAGCACCTTTGTTTTGTCTGCTTTTAAAGTGTTCCCAAAGTTTTAAACTTAAAGCACAAAGAGTAACATTTTATCTTATATAAATTAAAGCTACATTTATTATTTGTTAGTGTACATGTGCTACATGTTTGGTGAGGAATGCTTAACCCTGCCCTCCAAGTCTGTTCTATGAATAACCATTTACCAAATATGGACGAGGTTTCTTGAAGGAAACATTCTGTGCTATCATCATCTTGCTGCTTGACAAATCGGCTTGTAGAGAATTAGAATTAGAATTGTGTGGGCCACGGATTTAGCTCAGTGGTTTCACTGCCTGCTTTGAAAGCGTGAGGGACTGAGTTCAATCCCCGGTACCAAAAAAAAAAAAAAAAAAAAAAAAAAAAAAAATGGAAA